GCAGCAGAAAGTCTTGTCACCTCGATGGAAATGAATTTTTCATTTCGCGCTAAACTCGCGAAACGGTTGGTGGCTTAAAGCGAAGATTAAAGGGCGGCAGCGTGAGCTTCTCCTTTTTCTACTTCATGAAGTATAAGAGGAAACGACGGGGGTGGTGCCGCCCCATTATTTTTCATTGCTCGCAAGCACGATCTTTTCCCATTTTCCCCTCGTTTCCCTTCCTTCCTTCCTTCCTTCCTTCCTTCCTTCCTTCCTCGCTTGCTTTTTACTCTTTTTATCCATCCTCCTCCTTGCGCTTTCCGTAGACTTCATTGAGAAGTCCTGCTCAACCGTATCCTTAAACTTGTATTACCGGGTGAATTACGAAAAACGAAGCTGCCGCTGAAGAACACGATCCTCGTGGATTATTCAATCGGACCGCGCAATTTGTTTCGCTGGTTTGGTCGCCTCCCTTTCTCAATATCGCGGTCGTCGGCTTTCGAGGTAGAGGTATAGAGAGAGAGAGAGAAAGGAGCGCGTGTTTGCCAGGTATTGTGCTAAGTCCAGCGGAAAACGCGTGGAATCGGTGTGCAACCTTTATGGGGCAGGAAAGTAAGTATGGGGCAGTTAGATTCGATAAACATCGAGCGGAGAACGAGAATACAAACGTTTTCCCGTCGGCGGTTACGTTCCGCCGCCGGTGCTCGTGCTTCAAAGGAAGTTATTCGAGTCGCGCTAAAAGGACACGCAGTCTCGCGTACAATACGAGAAAAAAATATAACCGCGGGGAAAAATGCGGTCAACGAGTATTGTCGAACGAAAAACTCAGGTAAACAGTCGGGTATGGTGTTCAAGGCGAAAAGAAAAATCGCTTTTAGCGTACGCAATAGCGCGCCTCTTTTTCTTTCCCTTATTTTTTAGATTAAAAGATGTTGGTCGTTTGAACGAGAGAAATACAGGGGCGACACTCGCTAATTGAAATACCGACTGGGTAATCGGCGGATTCGTCGTTTATATTGGATGGCACTTCGACCGCTATCGAACGGTATCCATAAGCGTGGAATTACGGCGTTGTATTTCTCCGGAACTGGCTTTGCACACGTCCTTTCGCCAGATGCCGTCTTCCCGATATCGTCTTCCCTTTGACCGGAGTTATTACTTATACCACGAGGGTATCGGCGGTTTATTTTGTCGACGACGTAAGAGACGTCGGCGGCTGAGGTGAGCAAAAGGAACGACGAAAAGAGAGTAGTAGCAGTGCAAAGAGTGAAAGAGACAAGCCAAGTGAAAGAGTAAGAGAGTGAAAGAGGAACGGATGGAAGGGAGGGCGAAGGATCTCTCCGCAGATTAGAGCGCGAATCAATATTGGGCAGCGAGGCGAGGCTTTTATCGGCGCTGAAAGAAATCCCCTCGCTTCCTTCTTCGAGTGGGCACCGACTTGGAATGGAAACCAGTGGTAGAGAACCGGGCAAGGAAAAACGAAGGAGACGGAACGAGAGTATGGATAGAGAGATACGCGTATATAGGAGAGTAGTTCGGGGGACGGAGATGGAAAAAAGAGACAGAATTGAGAGTGACGGAAAGAGACACGAAAGATGAAGAGGGGAGCGACGATGGAGACGAAGGATAAGCACGAAGGGTATGAGGAGAACTGAAGAGCCCATGGAAGGAGGAACTCAGCGGAGAAAGGGAGAAGTAAGAGGACGAGGATTCCGTTCGAGCAACTTACCGGACTTCTACGTTCTCTCCACGGTCGAGGATTTACAGATTACGCGCTGGTAGACCGAGCTCCTGAGTGCGACCGAGAGAGAAACCTATCGAGAGTGGCGACGCGCGAACGAGCAAGGGAGAGAACGCGAGAATCGGCACGAGCGAGAAGGATGGTATAAAGGAATGACACGGAGAGGGAGTCAAGGACCATTCGGCGCGATGAGTGCGACGAAAACGGAGCTATCGAGTCCGCGCGGACTCGAACGGGTGCCGGTGACTCGACCAATCAGAGACTAGCGTTCTGGCCAGTCGACCAATCCGTTGGCGCTGCGAGCATTACACGTTTATTATCACGCGGGAAAAAGAAATGACTGTTTATAAATAATTAGAGAGGTTTTAATTAACCCTCGGGACGCTCTCGGACCGCCGGTATCCATCGCTGTTTTAATCGCTCGGTCGGTTTTACCATGGACGACGACACCGCCTCCGCCACCGCCAGCACCACCACCGTCTGTTCAATCTATCCCTACTCATAACGAAACCGCGTTATATTTGTAAAACTAAACCATCGATCGGCATCGGTCATTAAAGGCAACCCTTGTTCTCGTTTTCTTCGCTGCCAGACGTCTTGTGTCAAGGTGTCTGATGTATATGTATGCGTATATATGTGTATACTTGCAACGGTATAGAGTATATTTACCTACACGATTTTATCTTTTCCCACTTTCTTTTTTCTTTCCTCGATGACAAGAATATTTTGCTTTTTTCCTTTCTTTTCGGTATCTGCGCGGCACACGTCGAAACGAAACATGGGAGCGTATGCTATATTATTAGAAAATGTTGTGTTCTGGTCCCCTCTGAGTGTATACGTCGACTCGTGAATTCGTATGCACTATTTTCTCGTCAAAAATTCATCTGACCGTTTTTGACTGCATCACGTTATCCAACAGGCAATTGCTTTCCGATGGATAGAATCGCGGCCTCTAAAATCTTTCCAAAAGGCCTCCAATGGCGTGGACACGACAAAAGGGAAATCAAAGCATCGTCGAAGAGTTTTTACGATCGAACGCCCCGCTTTCGTGGCGAGGGGTTCTTCAGTTTAGCTTCCTCGCTACTTTTGGCTGCCACCGGCTTCGTCTCGAATATTTTATTCTCCTCTCTCGTTCACCGTATCTTTTCCACGCTGGATAAAAGATGCTCCGTAAGATCCTTCTTCGGTTGGTTGGCCACGTTCGTGCAAATTCACATATACACATACACATAGCGCTTACCATACACACAGCGCTTAGCATACACACACACACACACACACACACACATACACACAACGCGTGCACATACACAGAGAATAAACTTTCGCACCTTCTTCTCTATGAGTAAGATTTATCGGGAAGAAAGTTGCCACGACAAAGGGGTAAATGACTTTCAAATATCTCAGCTTTTCGAACGCGTCAGCTGTGAGTCAGAATTTCGAGTGTGAGGGCGCTGCGAGCGACGCCAACGATAGTTCCAACGATGTTCATAGAGCTTGTCCTATTTCGAAACGAGTCTTCCTAATCTGAGAAGAGTGGTTTCAAAGAGAAGGAGAGGTCGAGATTTTCATTCGAAAAGCATCACGTAATCCACACACGGTCTCGTCGACTCCGTGAAATCGTCCAAGTTCACTCACGGTATTTCCTAGACGAATTTAACGACGACGCATCAGAGAGTTCGTGTATGCGCTACCAACCGTTTGTACCACACAAAGAGGTCGCTGCGGAAACTCGATCTTTCTAGAAAGTTCTACGAGTCTGTTCGAAAGAATCATGAAATTTTCAACTGTTGTGTTATCGAAAATAGAATTTCCGATTGCTTTGCATTGTTCAATATTTGTTAAATGGATACTAAGTGAAGAAAATTTTGAAGAAAATTTGATTGAAATTGCTTTTCCTTATGTATCAGGTATGTAATACATATTTAGGTTATGTTGCAAATAATATAATATTCGATAGAACAAATGATATAATCTTTGAAGTGAAAGTTAATTAGAAATCAAAATTAATTTTTATTAAATATATTATATTTTTATTATAAAAGATCAAGCGTTATTTTTGTTAATAAATTGTGCTTTGTAAAATTTTATAAAATGTTTAAAAAGGAAATATTTAGAAAGAATTAGAAACATTATGGTATCAAAATATAAAAATATCGTTATGAAGTACGCTAAACTATGTTTTTAAACAAATATTACAAAGTTTATATTACGACGTAAACCAACATCAATGACTCGTTATGTATTTCAAGAATAACTGTTCGGTCACGTAACACGGTTGTTTTTCCTGTGCGAAATAAACTCGCGAATTGCATAAACGTTTCTGTATACGGAATACATTTCGTGATTAGCATTGTATTGTGAGATACTTACATTTTAGGCATTATTTGACCAATGCTATTTATCTATCTTGCATAATATCATTTCTAATTCTTCAATATTAAACTTCTAAAATAAAGCTCTAATATCTAACCTCTTAATATTTCACTAATTACCTTAATAAAATATCGTTTTTCGTTAATTATTGATTGAATAGTCCTAAGTCAACAATTATTACGAAACAGTTTTAAAAATTTAACACATTCTTTTGAAAAACATCGATAAATATTACTTTTCTTTTTTTTTTTCAAAAATATACATCATATTTACATATAGAAATATTTATGAACAATTATAATTTCAAATCAATTTTCGGTGAATATAAATCATCGTTGGGAAAAAGTTGTTTAAAATCATATCCTCTATAACATATTTAAAGATCATAAAAACTCACGAAAGCGTTAGATTGATATAGATAGATTGATTTTATTTCTTATTATTATCATAATTACGAAAAATTAAATTGCGCAATACTCGTTTCTAAAATAAATTTTCTGTAATACATATCAAAGTTTTAAAAATTCGAACAAAATTTTCAAAAACGCACGATATCTTCTCTTTTAACGATTCCAATTATATACTCATTAGAGAGATTACACTTATACACCTTCGAAAACTTATCTAGCGCGCAACACACGTACAAACTTTATCGCTAATACGTTTACGCGAACTCTAGCCAAAACTCGAGTTTAGTGCCCACGCTATCCAGAGTCACGCAATCGAACCCGTTCATCGACGTCTCCCGCGATCGTTGCCGCCGATGATAGGGGACGAACGGAGCGTACAAAATCCGTTTCCGGTCGAGCGGTTCCGCGAAATGATTTATTATGCCGTCGAGCGTGCACCGAGAGAGGAACCGAACGGAGCGTGACCTGCGGTGAGCGCATTGTAGACACGGTGAATCGGCACCGAGAAGAATATGAACCTACCCCTCTCTCTCTCTCTCTCCCTCCCTTCCCCTTCAAACCCTCCCCCAAGGAAAGCCCTCATTGTTTATTTTATTGGAACACCCCGGGTGAATAGGGACGGGCATCATGGGAGGGGGGAGGGAGAGGGGACCAAGACCGATGGAGCATAGAAAAGGGGGTAATTATATGGGCGCCACTCGGCGCACCAGCAATCACGCGATCGTAATCCATCCTTTCAGATAGAGGCGAGGCCGACGTGTCGGTAAGGGCCAGATGCGCATCGCTCGTGGTCCGCTTTTTATACGGCCTCGTTCGGGATCGTATTTACACGGCCGATCCTCGAGAGATCGACCCGACCCGATCCGCTCCGCTGCACGTATAATTGGCCACGATGTTAAATAGATCGCTCGACCAATTGCTTTTCCACCGTACTCCTGTCAGCGGGCTATCTCCAGAGAAAATTGGGTTATCCGTTGGTATCTTTTTCATCGATGATACGATTGTTTTATTAGATGTCTCTATTCTATCCATAGAAAACAATGTTTGCCTGCAGGGCAACATTCGATATATAATTTTAACAGATGCAAAAGGAGATTACGAAATAGGAAAAAAAAAAAAAAAATTTTTTTTAAACGATTTATATAAACGATTGAAGAAATTGAAACAACCGATCGAAATTTCTCGAAGATAATACGAATTGTATTCCAATATACGATTAATTTATACATTTTCCCACGACAAATCCTCTTGGCCACTGGTACACAATGTGATTTCGATTCGACGGTCGAATGTGCAACAAGCGTCCGGTCGGGCGAGCGCACGGGTTTTTGGTCACGCTGTCATCGATCCTCCTCCCCCACGTTATTCCAACGTTTGTCCATCGTGACACGGGGATGAGTGGGAGGGCGGGAGGAGGAGGAGGTCAACGAAGTCGTCACCGCCGCCGCATTGAACGAGTTGCTTCCGGTCGGTGCGCCTTTTCCCCGACGGAATCGCGTTAACGAAGCGTCGAAAAACGGTTTATACCGGCGGACCGATGCGTCAGCGCGAATCCGATGTCGCCGTTATTAGCGAAGAACGAAAAACGGTGGTGTCGATGCGGAGGGGAGGAGCGGGGCACACAGGCGTGCCAGTCCCCATAAAAGGACGCGGGCGCGGAACAAGCCGGTTAAATGGGGGTAGCG